CGTAAGGTTAATAACGTCGTCTGTAATAGGACGTAAGGTTAATAACATCGTCTGTGATAGGATGTAAGGATATTAGCGGCGTCTTAGATAGGACGTTAGGTTTATATCGGCGTCTTAGATTGGACATTCAGTTAATAACGTTGCCTTAAATAGGACACTATTTAAATGACGTTATATAAGATAGAATGTTAGGTTAATAACTTTGTCTAAGATAGGACGTTTGGTATATAACGTTGTCTTAGATAGAACGTGAGGTAAATAACGTTGTCTGGGATAGGACGATTGGCTTATTACGTTGTCTTAACTAGGACATTATGTAAATAACGTTGTCTAAGATAGGAAGTTAGGTAAATAACGTTGTCTTAAATACGACGTAAGGTAAATAATGTCGTCTGAAATAGGTCGTTAGGTTAAAAACGTCGTCTGTTATATGACATTAGGTCAATAACGTCGACTGTAATAGGACGTTAGGTAAATTACGTCGTCTGTGATAGGACGTAAGGTTAATAACGTCGTCTGTCATAAGACGTTAGGTTAATAACATTGTCCGTCATCTGAAATAGGACGTTAGGTTAATAACGTCGTCTGAAATAGGACGTTAGGTTAATAACATTGTCCGTCATCTGAAATAGGTCGTTAGGTTAATTACGGCGTCTGTGATAGGACGTTAGGTTAATAACGTCGACTAAGACAGGACATTAGGTTAATAACGTCGTCTGAAATAGGACGTTAGGTTAATAACGTCGTCTGAAATAGGACATTAGGTCAATAACGTCGTCTGTTATAGGAAGTTAGGTTAATTACTTCATCTGCAATAGGACGTTAGGATAATGACGTCGTCTGTAATAGGACGTTAAGTTAATAACATCGTCTGTAATAGGACGTTACGTTAATAACGCCATCTGAAATAGGTCGTTAGTTTAATAACGTCGTCTGTGATAGGACGTTAGGTTTATAACGTCATCTGAAATAGGACGTTATGTGAATAACGTCGTCTGTAAAAGACGTCTGTTTATTAAAAAAATCTTCTTAGATAGGACGTTAGGTTTATATCGGCGTCTTAGATGGGACATTTAGTTAATAACGTTGCCTTAAATAGGACACTATTTAAATGACGTTATATAAGATAGAACGTTAGGTTAATAACTTTGTCTTAGATAGGACGTTTGGTATATAACGTTGTCTTAGATAGAACGTGAGGTAAATAACGTTGTCTGGGATAGGACGATTGGCTTATTACGTTGTCTTAACTAGGACATTATGTAAATAACGTTGTCTAAAATAGGAAGTTAGGTAAATAACGTTGTCTTAAATACGACGTAAGGTAAATAATGTCGTCTGAAATAGGACGTAAGGTTAATAACGTCGTCTTTAATAGGAGGTTAGGTTAATAACATCGTCTGTAATAGGTCGTTAGGTTAAAAACGTCGTCTGTTATATGACATTAGGTTAATAACGTCGACTGTAATAGGACGTTAGGTAAATTACGTCGTCTGTGATAGGACGTAAGGTTAATAACGTCGTCTGTCATAAGACGTTAGGCTAATAACGTTGTCCGTCATCTGAAATAGGTCGTTAGGTTAATTACGTCTTCTGTGATAGGACGTTAGGTTAATAACGTCGACTAAGACAGGACATTAGGTTAATAACGTCGTCTGAAATGGGACGTTAGGTTAATAACATTGTCCGTCATCTGAAATAGGACGTAAGGTTAATAAGTCGTCTGTTATAGGAAGTTAGGTTAATTACTTCATCTGTAATAGGACGTTAGGATAATGACGTCGTCTGTAATAGGACGTTAAGTTAATAAAATCGTCTGTAATAGGACGTTAAGTTTATAACGTCGTCTGTAATAGGACGTTAGGATAATGACGTCATCTGAAATAGGACGTTAGGTAAATAACGCCATCTCAAATAGGTCGTTAGTTTAATAACGTCGTCTGTGATAGGACGTTAGGTTTATAACGTCATCTGAAATAGGACGTTATGTGAATAACGTCGTCTGTAAAAGACGTCTGTTTATTAAAAAAATCTTCTTAGATAGGACGTTAGGTTTATATCGGCGTCTTAGATGGGACATTTAGTTAATAACGTTGCCTTAAATAGGACACTATATAAATGACGTTATATAAGATAGAACGTTAGGTTAATAACTTTGTCTTAGATAGGACGTTTGGTATATAACGTTGTCTTAGAAAGAACGTGAGGTAAATAACGTTGTCTGGGATAGGACGATTGTCTTATTACGTTGTCTTAAATAGGACATTATGTAAATAACGTTGTCTAAGATAGGAAGTTAGGTAAATAACGTTGTCTTAAATACGACGTAAGGTAAATAATGTCGTCTGAAATAGGACGTAAGGTTAATAACGTCGTCTTTAATAGGAGGTTAGGTTATTAACATCGTCTGTAAGAGGTCGTTAGGTTAAAAACGTCGTCTGTAATATGACGTGAGGAAAATAACGTCGTCCGTAATAGGACGTTAGGTAAATTACGTCATCTGTGATAGGACGTAAGGTTAATAACGTCGTCTGTCATAAGACGTTAGGTTAATAACGTTGTCAGTCATCTGAAATAGGTCGTTAGGATAATTACGTCGTCTGTGATAGGACGTTAGGTTAATAACGTCATCTGAAATAGGTCGTTAGGTTAATAACGTCTTCTGTGATAGGACGTTAGGTTAATAACGTCGACTAAGACAGGACATTAGGTTAATAACGTCGTCTGAAATAGGACATTAGGTTAATAACGTCGTCTGTTATAGGAAGTTAGGTTAATTACTTCATCTGTAATAGGACGTTAGGATGATGACGTCGTCTGTAATAGGACGTTAAGTTAATAACGTCGTCTGTAATAGGACGTTAGGTTTATAACGTCATCTGAAATAGGACGTTAGGTTAATAACGTCGTCTGTAATATGACGTTAGGTTAATAACGCCATCTGAAATAGGTCGTTAGGTTAATTACGTCGTCTGTGATAGGACGTTAGGTTTATAACGTCATCTGAAATAGGACGTTAGGTTAATAACGTCGTCTGTATTAGGATGTTAGGTTAATAACGTCATCTGAAATAGGTCGTTAGGTTAAGTACGTCGACTAAGACAGGACATTAGGTTTATAACGTCGTCTGTAATAGGACGTCTGTTTATTAAAAAAATCTTCTTAGATAGGACGAAAGGTTAATAATGTCGACTTAGACAGGACATTAGGTTAACAACGTCGTCTTAGATAGGACGTTAGGTGTGATAAGATACCACCATAGAAATAAGGAATGAGTGTGTGCTATTTTCTGTTATCATACCTTAGGGGATAGAGCTTAAACTATTACTAAACGATCTGTTACACGTTTTGTATGTAATCAGAATTTGGTTATACGTCCATTGCCATAATATACAGTTGTTTAATTGGAAATGAATTCACACAAACTAATGAAATCTGTTATCAAAGCATCCTTCTCTCTTGATCTGTTACACTAGCGGTTCAAACTACTACCGACTACTATAGTTTATATCACAGTTAAACATGACCATTTAGAAAAAACCATTTAAACTTGTAGATATCATAAGGTTGAATATCCATGAAGATGCATTTGTCGAGAAAATGTGAGAAAATGCTTCAAATCTCGAGAATGATGACACGTATTTTGAGTGGATATTTTACAATAATTCATCTTGCTAACAAGACTTGTGGTACAAGTCAAGCCATATTACCTGAGTGAGGACCTGTTGTGAATGGTGTACAGGTAAAATCTCAATTGCTTTGCCTGCTTTTTTCCAACCTCAGTCAGCCTTGTTCGCTTTGTGCTAAGTTGTGATTTATTCAGGGGAAATATATGCCATTATTCTGGAGATTTGGCACATTTTCTTACAATTTTCTCGACATATACATCTCCATGGACATCCAACCTTATGATATTTACAAGTTTAAATTGGGGTTTTCCCTGAATTGTGACTTTTATTTAGCTTGGAAAATGGACATATAAAAAGTGAGTTTTTTCATCAGTTATTGAATGGGTTTTTTCTGGAATTTAGTGCGCATGTACCTCAATTATGTTTGAGAAATATTGGTGGAGGATTATTTTGTGACAGGGATTGTTTAATGCTAACGGAATGCATTATTGAATTTGATATACAGTTTGGTGTGGCCGTCATATTGGAATGTCCTAACATCCCTGTTCCATGACTAAAAGTGTTAAATGAATTTCATGGATTTCATTGTATTGGTGCCAATGGGCAAGGTATGTTTCGATCACAGGGATCTGAGAATTTGTTACAGCTATATTTGGACCTTAACTATAACGTGTCAGAGTATTAACATGTTTTAGTGGTTTAGATAAACTTTCGGTAAAAGTACGTAAATTTTACGGAAAATTGATCTAAACCCCTAAATCACCTTGGTTTAGATGAACATATAGGGATACACCATTTGGAACTGTTGTTTTTATCATTAAATGTTGTTTGTTCTTTTGCTATTTATTTTGATTTTGTACTCTAGCTCACTTTACATCCACTTAAAAGATATATATGCGTACATTATTATTTCGAATTTTAATCCCCTTATGCTGTACATGTGATAGTAGTTCATGTAGGCTCGCGATCGAGACGTATACATATACTACTGACTTAATGTCTCCGTGTATGCTTTGGTTTCCGTTATGTTTTATTACATGTTTTATTAGCCTACCGTACACAAATAGCTCTACCGAGAGAATGTTTGTATGTTTCTGGTATGCGACGTTAAATACATATTCTTGTATCTATATTGATAGCTTGTAAGACCATCAAAAACGCATATTTGGGTGGTCCGTGGAACTAATCACTATAGTGACATACATTGATATGATTGTTTTGTTATTGCATCACAGGTACGTATACCTGTGAACGATACGGTCCTGCCGAGCAATTATGCAACCGAGTGCAAGAAAATTGACACGTACACGCGATTGGCCAATTCAAATGGTTAACGACCTCGTTATCGTCTCGGGTATTTCCGACATGCGGTGTACCGTTTCCTGAACAACTCGGTGAGCGAAGATGAGACAACATGGAGATCACTCAGGATATAGAGAGAACATGTGTACAAGACCAGAGTTTATGGATCAAATGTAATCAACAGTAAGTACCAAACCACCTTACATAACTAGAAAGGCATAAAAACACAATAAAAGTACCTGAAGAAAATTGAAATGTTCATTTATCTACTTTCGGTTTCGTTTTTGGTAAGATTAACGTTATCATATCATCACGTCAACTTGAAACTGAGAAATAATCTAATTAAGTGCCTGAAACTGATATATAAACAAATTCGAAAACCTTAAGAAAACTTTATTATGCTGGATTTCGTAGAAGCGCCTAATTCGTAACTTAACATGTTCCACGTACGGACTTAAAGATGTAGATAGCAATCTCTCTATATATAAGCTAATTCGGTGCCTAAGTTTCAACATGGAGTAATAATCGGACCACAGAGGTTCGTTACAAATGTCATAAATACACATATGTAGTACTTATTTGGGTCACATACCTATCATATCATCTATCATATGTCATCAATTATATTTCAACGAGATAATTGACGGATTTAATCAATGACATTTGAATTTTAAAATATAACATATTGTATCAGGTATCACAATAAAATATTTGAATGTCCATAAAATATTCTAGCATTTAAATTCCCCTATTGGTATGGCCTTTGCATTTTACAACAAAATCACCAGCCAGATAGCCAAGCATGTAACATAGTGTCTGACCTAGAGGCTGATCTAAATTCTAATTGATTTATTGATTTTGTACATTAATTGCCCTTAAAATGGTTCAAGCTCAGTCAAATTTGGAATGCTTATATATGTCTACACCAAACATCAACAATTAATGTAATCCCTACACTAGCCATTTTCCAATGATTGCATGTAAGGGCCTGGTGACTTATGATACTACATATATATATCTTAACTTTTGTTCACAACACTTGCTGCACATTCTAAATATTTCGACTACTACATATTAGGGCCTAGCTTCTTCAGTAGGACTGAGACTTACCCTGTGGTCCCTTTTGCAGTTTCTCCTGTTATTCATTGGTCAAATTATTAAAGGCTGTGACTAAGGGTGAACCATTGTTTCAAGTAATGGGATGAAATGGGTTAAAAATCCACAAACACCTACCCATGGAGCCAAGAGTGATGTAATACTGTTTGTAGATTGCTGTACAAATAGTGTAGAGGGGATTACCCTCAGCTATATTTAATCATTGTAGGAAGAATAATTAATATCCGAATAACAAATCCCTTCCTTCAAGGACATACATTTATAATGATGTTGATTGCCTGTGCCAAGTTATAAAAAAATCCAATGAATGGTTAAGGAGGTGTTACACTAAGTTTTCTGGAGCAGAATTGAAGTTTCAAGGGTCATAACTCCAGGAAAAATGTTGAATTCCAAATTCCTTTCCTCATGTAGGTTAACATATGATGTACTTTTACTGTGCGATATTTAAAAAAAAAACTAACAAAGAGTGAAGGAGAAGTTACATTTGCAAGGTTTTGGGAGCAGAAATATAAAATTGAAAGTTTCACTGTAACTCCTGGAAAAAAAAGTTGAATGGCAAATTCTTTTCTTCATCACATCTTCATATGATGTACTTTCATTTCGCCAAGTAACAAAAAAATATTCAATAAACAATAAGGAGGCGCAGTGCTAAAAAGGTTTCTGGAGACAAGAAATTAATGTTTCCATGTGAGCGATACAGACCTTATGGGACTTTTGTTTATACATGTTAGACTAGATTTCTGTGTTATATGTGTATTTACAAAATAATTCTATTAATTTCAGACTAAAACCAAGATGTCTTCAGGTTCAGGTGCACCTCGTGGTCCTGTTCCTGCCGGTAGCGATCCTAACCAGGCTGGTGATGACAGCCATGCAGAGAAGGGAGATAACCACAAGGGTCAGATAGAAGTACAAAGATCTGTCAATTCCAGTGGGAACCAAACAACAGCGAACCAACAACAGTATTCAAGACATGAGGTTCATTTTACATTTGGAAAATCCGACCAGATAGTTAATATATCTGATGCTGTGTCTGGTGCCTATAAATATGAGGAAGAGGACAAGAAAGAGGCAACTAGCCATGGGAAGGGTCAGCCAGACTTACAAAGATCTGGCAGTTCCATTGGTAACCAAACAACAGCAAACCAAAAACAGTCTTCAACACTGGAGGGAGGACAGTCAACTCCGGTTGATTTTACATTAGCAACATCTAACCAGAGAGATAAAATACCTGGCCAAGGTGTGGACTCCTACGAGACAGGAGGTGGAGCTCAGGGTGGTGATGTCGCTGCAGCCATGGCATCTCCAGAGGATACACCAAATCCTCCACCAAGGTCACAGGGTAAGTTAAGATATTTTTAGTAGTGTAATAGGCGCAAACGAAGGATTCAAACACAGAACCTCGAACTGTGGAGTGCTGATGTAACCTTTTAATTTATACTGTCACTCCATGCTTTAAACCAGTCAAGTTCTCTACTAACCTTCCACATTTATTCAAGGCTTTGACCCACTTAAAACACACAGGACCCTGTACAATCACCTGTATCACTGTATAGCATAGTAAAACTATCTTGTTAATCAATACATTAGATATATATTAAATTCATATTGCAATTCATTTTATTAAACATTTATAATTGTACCCCTGTGTAGTTTGGTAATGTGAAGACCATGGTAATATGAACTTCACTATATGTTCTTTACCAATATTTATTTATTATTTTCTTTTAGGTTACTTCAAATTTTTGTTCTCTATTCATGTTTGTCAATAACAAAACATTGTATGGGGTAGATAGAATTAGGATGGGGCGTGGGAGGGGTTTATCTCACAATTACGATGAAGCCCTAAACCAAATTTTTCCTTATCGATTTTCCTTTTAAAATCTATTTTAGTAAACTTTGATTTGTTGTTCATCATGTCTGGGTACAAACTTTGGGGTGGGGATTGTGTTTGGATGGGTGGGTGGGAGAGAGGGGGATCACTTGACCATAATGGGGAAATGAAGGGTTTCACCAATTTTTTTCTGCCCTTGCATCAGATTGGCTGGGACAATTTTGACTTCTTCTCAAGAACAGCTACACCAATTGACTCCTTACTTGGTACAATTGATTTTTGTTAGGTCCCAAACAGGTGTTGTAACATTTTGTGATATTGATTATTCGGGTCATTTCAAAATTTACTAAACTGTTGTTTTCATGGATCTTTATTTATTTATTTTTATTTTTACATTTCTAGGTAAGAAGACTGATTCATTTCGAGGCTTTCAGGATATTGATTATTCAGGTCATTTCAAAATCAAACTTATCTCTAGAGACACTGAAATGACAATATATACAAAAGTGTTGAAGATGGAAACAGAGGAAGAACGATTTGTCAAGTTCTGCCATCTCTTCTATTGTGATTTACAGCTGTGTGCAGTAAAGGAGGCTTTTCAGTCTGATCTGAAACTTGATGTAATCAAAGGGGGATATCCTCCTTCTGTCTGTACCCAGCCAGGGGCCTCAGATCCTGTAGCTGTAACTGTAAAGAGTTTCCTTAATAGTCTGTGCTATCAACTTAGTGCTGTGAACATTTCCTCCACCCCCTGGAATATAGACCAAGTCAGGACAATTCTGTCATCCTTGGACAGCTATCGGAAGGCCATTGTGACTGGCTATGAGGTGTCAGGTGATGTAGCTACCAACTACTGGCTGGCAGGTGAACGCGGCTCTATGAAGTCTGCCATTGATGTTTTAGTTCAGAGGCTAGGTCCTAGAAGTAACCCAGTCCAACAGTCACCAACAAAACAAGATATGAAAGAACCTGATAGAAATAGAACTGATGGGAGTCCTTTTATTGGTCAGCAGGAAAGGCTTAGTCAAACGGACAGTCGTCTTCAACAGACTGGTCTAGCTGTCAGTGGACAAAAACAGCAACTAGGAACTGACCAGGTGACTGAAAGGACACATTTTGATCAACAAAACACTAGACTGGTAACTACAAACCAAGAATACCACTTTAATGCAGGACCTGATTCTTTGAGATGTAAACCAATGGTTAGCGGGTCAGATAGTGCTCCACCAGGCCATAGTGGATCAGGTGACAGTAGTAGTGATCACACTCGACCTTCAATGGGAGACGGACAGGTACGTGTTACTAGTGAAAACGAGCTCGAGAGGACAAGAAGTCAAAAGGAGGCAGTGAACCAGGAGACTGGAACGTCTGACAGATCTGTTGAGGTGGCAGATGTGGACATTCATTTTACTGATACAGATTTAGGAAATGTGCCATCACAAACTGAAACACAGAAACAGAGAGGTAAGATACCAGATGTTTACAGCTATGTTAACATATTTAGGCCCCACATTTAAGATGCGGATGGCGTATAGTAATCACCATGTCCATTTGTCCATTCGTCTGTCTACGCTATTGATTCCGAAAATCATCTAAATAAATAACCTTTTTGAAATTTGACATGATGTAGATGTGCAATAGGGGTTTGAAACCTTTCTAAGCACAAGGTCAAGGTCACTGTTACTAAAAATTCACCATGGGAGTATATGACCACCAGCATTTTCTTTTCTGAAGATTATCTCACAACCCCCCCAAAAAAACCATTTGCAATATTCATACATTGTGATATGTTGATGTGCAATAGCTATAGAGGTGTCACGTACTGCTACCAAAAATAGAAAGGGGGATGATATATTTGTTATCACTTGACTGGTCATAGGAGATATACTGTCAGATAAACATTGTGTTGGCCTTTCTGACCTGTGAAACTGGTAGTAAAGAATAGTATTTTGTATATAACAGGATCCCATAATCCAGAATGGAAAGATGTCAAGGTCAGTCAAGGTCACTTGCTTGATGTACAAATGAGGCAATATACTGTCAAAAGATCATTGTCACAATTATGGTCCTTTCTAATATATGTCAGTGATCATTTTCATAGTAAGGTATGGTGCTATACATGTAGGTAGATATCCTTTTAATAATGCCTATTACTCAAAACTAAACACCCAAGATGGCCAAAGCCTAGATAAATTAATATCACTTCTAATTGGCTTAAACCAAGATGACCACATTGGTTTCAGATCGGCTGAGGCCTTTCAGTATATAATTTCTGTTCTGTTGGTCTGATTTTAATCATACTTGATGGTAAATGTTTTTTTGTCAGAAATCGTATGTGTGTGTGTTACCCCTTTCGACCACAATGACGTTAGGGGGGGGGGGGCTTATATTAGAATCAACCCATTATACTGTTTGACCATCTGTCCAGAATATTGTCAAGCATATTTTAAAAATGACAAAAAGACATTTCTCTCAAACTTAATATACTACTTGCGTATGATATAATGTTGTGCCCATTCGCTCTTCAATCTGTTTGTCAATATAGGATATGTTTAATCTGGCTGGCTGATTCGTTTTCGTCTACAAAGCTAGGGGGGGGGGGGATTGATATTTTCAAAATGGTGGCTAGTCCAAATGCATTTTCATGGTTTCTGAGCTTATTCTGGTGGTTGGAATGAGAGACAAATACTCTTTCATGCCCAAGGGTGTAGGATAAATTTGGCAAAACCTGAGGCACTCCTACACCCCTGAGCATGAAAGAGTCTTATAATCTTCCAGGAACCATAGGAAACAACTCTGTCTCAAAGCCATCTATAAATAGATTAATATCATGATTATACCTCAAACTTTATAACATTTGGTAATCCCAACAAGCATTCACAAATGAATAACATTTATGATATCTATAAGAGTCATGCTATCGGAAACACTTTCTTAAAAGCAAAGCATGATAAGTCCGATATAAGTAGGAAATAATGGCAGTTTTTTTTGTAGTGGTGTAATGATCATGGCAATTTATAAACAGATCAGTATAAACCAGTTGTTACGTAGCAAACTTCATTAAGCTGTATGTGATCAAGTAGTTGCAGATACATCATGTGGACCATGTTTATGTTAAGGTCCAACATCCTATATGTATAGGACCTGATATATGTTACAATAACTCAATTCAGTGACATATCAATCCAATTTCTTTTATTAACAGAATTTGATAAACTGTCTATAAAGGGCAAGTGCATGTTTGAGAATTCTTAGAAATTACACTACGTTGTATGTAAGTTGTACCATACGTTGTATGTAAGTTGTACCATACGTTGTATGTAAGTTGTACCATACGTTGTATGTAAGTTGTACCATACGTTGTATGTAAGTTGTACCATACGTTGTATGTAAGTTGTACCATACGTTGTATGTAAGTTGTACCATACGTTGTATGTAAGTTGTACCATACGTTGTATGTAAGTTGTACCATACGTTGTATGTAAGTTGTACCATACGTTGTATGTAAGTTGTACCATACGTTGTATGTAAGTTGTACCATACGTTGTATGTAAGTTGTACCATACGTTGTATGTAAGTTGTACCATACGTTGTATGTAAGTTGTACCATACGTTGTATGTAAGTTGTACCATACGTTGTATGTAAGTTGTACCATACGTTGTATGTAAGTTGTACCATACGTTGTATGTAAGTTGTACCATACGTTGTATGTAAGTTGTACCATACGTTGTATGTAAGTTGTACCATACGTTGTATGTAAGTTGTACCATACGTTGTATGTAAGTTGTACCATACGTTGTATGTAAGTTGTACCATACGTTGTATGTAAGTTGTACCATACGTTGTATGTAAGTTGTACCATACGTTGTATGTAAGTTGTACCATACGTTGTATGTAAGTTGTACCATACGTTGTATGTAAGTTGTACCATTAGGACCGAGTGCTACAAAGTTGCCTAAAATAAATGACATTGACCGTTTTTCAAGGTCACAGGGTTCAAATATATAACTCTAGCAACACTTTTTAAGAAACCATTAGTTCCATAGTCATGATATTTGGGTATGTAAACCAGCAGTGCCAATGTTTTTCTAACACATTGCGCTTAGGTCATTCAGGGTCCATTTTGAGCACTAACCAGGGTCATAGGTAATATTGGCTATGAAGGTAAAATGTTTCAAGAATCTTCCATAAGACTAAGGGTCCTTCTAGTCAGGCAATAGGTACATGGATAGAAAGTGCTATTAAGCTTCCTCATTTTATGACCTTGAACTATTTTCAAGTTCATGTGGTCAAAATATTTGAAAAAAATGTTTGGTCACCAGCTATCCTGAAATCATGAGGAGAACAATGGATATAAACAAGTAGTGTTTTATAAACAAACAAATCTGATCTTGATAAAGACTCTATTTTAACATTTAGTATATACATATTTTTGTACATTACAGGATACGAACAGCAGTTATCTGAATGGTCTGGACAGAATGCCAAAAACCCACAACAGGGGTCAACAAGTACACCAGTGGATCAAAGTATTGACAGATGTCAAGGTCAAGGTCAGATTGGTGAACATAGAGATCCGGTCGGAGCCCAAACTGGAGGACAAAATGCTGCGGTGCAGTATATGACAGAGCCATCCCCAGGTAGAGGTGACCAATATAAACTACCTCAGGGACAACCTCCTTCTACCAAACATGATGTACATCACGAAACTGCATCATCAATCATTACTATGAAAAAAAATCTTGGTAGACTTGATGAGAACATTTTATCTTCCTTACCATTAATCCTCAAGGATCTAAGGTACAAATTCAAAAATGTGAAAATAGAATTGGAGAAAGGTCAACATACTGTTAATATAACTGGGGCTGAGGTAGATGTCAGAAGAGTGACTACAGAGATAGTTAATCAACTGAAGGCAGTAAAGGACAACAAGGTTGAAATAAACAACAAACACATCAAACAGGAGGCAATAAACATGTTTAGAGAGAAGAGTGTATTTGACTATTTGAGAGAAAACATAAGAAGCCAGGAGGTTGCCTGTCACCTGACAAGGATTGAGGACTCAGCTGGAGTGTACCTGTTGATATATACAGCTGACACTGACACAGAAAGAGCTGTCAGACTTGTCACTTCCTCTGTTGTCTGCAGAGAGATTGAGATGGATTCTGATTGGAAATTATTCCTAGACTCAAAGTATGTACAGCGGGAGATGTCTGACCTTCAGAAGGAGTACAATGGTAAGGTTGCCATAACAACACAGGAGAGCCTAGTGACACTGTCCTGTACAGCTGACATTGAACATGCAGTATCGAAAATTGTAAACAGAATGAAGAAAGATTTCTTAAGAGAGGGAAATAAAACAGTTAAGTACACACCAGGTGGAGACCTAACAGTAGAACTCTGTACTAAAGTACTACAGCATGATATTCAGATGATGGAAGAGAAATATGGTGTTAAATGCCATCCAGTTAAAAAAAACAGAAAGCAGGGATGGGAAGTTACAGGGCCATGTGGAACATTGGAGAAAGCTGTTGACACTCTGAAGGAACTTTCTGCGACCGTGACATCGAGACACCTGCCACTCGTGGACAAGATCACAGAGGCTTTTTTTAAAACACAGCCAGGACAGGATGAAATGGTCAGAGTTGCTGAGAATACAGGATGTTTGGTGACTTTGTTGGAACAGGAAGTAGCTGTTTCTCAAGGGACCTCAGGAGAAGTGACTTCTGGCAGACAAGGTCAAGTGTCGGCTACTGAGCGGTCTGACAGGTCAAATCTGGCTGGACGTCAGTGGTGCTCAGGAGATGGCGGGGTCGTGGCTCTGTACTGTGGGGATGGCTGGAGGTCTACATCTGATGTCTTGGTAGAACTCACTCAGAATAAAGGTATGAGTTTTTACTAGTAATCATACCATTTATGATTGAGGCAATATCATTTGGTTTCAGATGCCTGTAAATACAAACATATTATTAAAAATTTGGGTATATTTAAAACCAATCTTTTGGAGTATATGTAGTTAATAGATAATACTTCATAGATTATGCCATACCGTGGCGTTCATCGTCCGTACGTCAACAATGTCTTTAAACAACTTTTTCTTCATCTTAACCACTGATTGGAATTTAACCAAATTTGACTGGAAACATCCCTAGGTGCATGGTGGGGATTCAAAATTGTACAAAAAGTGGGGCTGACCCCCCAGGGGGCTGAGGGGCGGGGCCAAAAGGGGTCAATTAGGCTATATTGCTTTAAGCAACTTCTTCTCTGGCACTAAGAGATGGATATCAGCCATATTTGACTGGAAGCATCCCTAGGTAGTGGAAATTCAAAATTGTACAAATGGTGGGGTTGACCCCCCAGTGAGCTGAGGGTCGGGGCCAAAAGGGGGCAATTTGGTTATATTGCTTTAAGCGACCTCTTCTCTGGAACTAAGAGATGGATATCAACCATATTTGACTGGAAGCATCCCTAGGTAGTAGAGATTCAAAATTGTACAAATGGTTGGGCTGACCCCCCAGGCTAAGGGTTGGGGCGAAAAAAACATTAATTAATTGGAAATGGTTGAGATCCCCACCGTATTACCATATATACAATTGCTGAGTATAAAGAGAAGAATGCACATTTGCTTCCAGGATGGCTCTAGGATCTGGCCCGCCCCTTGGAGACATAGTTCCTTGGCATAACCTTTGAACCAGTTGGCCCCCCCCCCCCCCCCCTAGTGACTAGTTTCTTAGTCACAGCTTGGAAACAGTTGAGATCCCCCTCCCATAACCATACATAGAATTGCTGGGCATGAAAAATCTAATACAGATATTCTACAAGGATTGGCCTTGGGGTCTGGCATTGTAGAATATTTTGCCATGATTTCTTAGATATCCAGGTGAGCAATACAGGCCCTCTGGGCCTCTTGTATTGATTACAGACTGGTTACAAAGTTTCACACATATCTGGTATATGGATAATTTCCTAATGTAATATCATGAATTGCAGTCATCAATACTGTTAATAAAATATCTAATTATGAACAGCTTTATAAGTAACAGTTCTGAATAGAAGCAACATGAACCTCAGTAACAATTACAGCAAGATCTAAAACAAGATTGTGATATATTCATGTGATATCCTGAGAACACTGCTTAATACTTGTACAAAATGTGATGCATTCATATAAAAAAAATAAGTCAAGTATAAATTATACAAATGTGACAATTAAATGTCAATTGGAAAATTAAGATACAGATTTTCTAATTGTTGCAAAATCATGTTATCCATGTAAGACTGAATTAGCCTCCTTATTTTACCCAAGTTTTTCTTTTACCATGAGCTCCTATTCCGAAACCATCAGCCATTTTGTAATATTTTGAATTTAAGGTCATCTATGTATTTAGACAAGTTACAAAGAATCATGGGAATTACTCGTTTGTTCACATTATCAAAGAGATCATGCATATCTTAAAAACTCCATTATACAGTTTCTCTATATACAAACCATATGATATGAGACAAACATAGTTTTTTTCTCCCAAAAACACGTTTTTTTACATAGTTAAGCAGTTCAGTTTCATCCCCTCAAAATTGTTGAGAATATGCATTTCAATCCTTTGATATATCACAGTACATTGTGCAGTTGTTTCTAAGTAAAAGTCTAATTCTTCAAAAATAAATGTATTTTGTAGGTACTCAAGCTGTCAGATTGCAGCCTTATCAAGATAAGGTTACTGTTAATCTGAATCTTCCAGAATGGAGAGATGGAAACAATAAAGAGAAGGATATAATTCGTAAACACTTTCAGGAGATTATAATTATGGCAGCAGAGAAGGGGTATACATCTCTGACAGTTCTTTTGGATGACTGTGAGCGGTGTGGATGGAAGGAAAGGAAAGCATGTATATCGTTAGTCAAGAACACTCTGTATAGTCTTCAGACTGAAAATGCCGGGGCCTGTTCCTGTGTCTATTTTGTGAGGGACCAGGGGATGTTCATGGTGTTACGTGATGTAATCGATGACAGTTTTAGAAATACTACTCAAAAGTACCTGAATATAACAGATGAAAAAGATGAAGTAGCATTGGATTGGGAGCACGTTGATTGGTCTGATATCAAAGGTATGTAAACAATGAACTTAATATTTCTACTGGTTTCAAATTCTGTCTGCAAATTCATCAAGTTACAATTCTGACATGGACTTGTATATATTCTGTTAAATCATACAATTATATTTACATTTGTGTTGCAGTGCCTCTAGATAACAGTACCAACTCAAAATGATGTCATGATTCAATAAAAGCAAGTGTGTAGTAATATTGACAATACTACATGTACCCTTGTATGACCTCCAACATCCCCACCCCCCTCCCCCTCAAAACACACACACAAAAATAAAAATGAACAACAATTAAAAAACATATGAATATATTTTATTAATCTTTTTTTTTTGAATTATCAACAAGAACTCACCCTGTTTAATGAAATTTTAAAGTCTGCAAATTCATTGTCTAAAATCTGTTGTGTGCTCACTTTAAAATCGAAAGACGGACCAGGTGAGCTAGCGCCATGGCGCGGACTCCGTCGTCTGTCCTTTGTCCAAATTTGATCAGAATCATCCTTGGGGGAAGAGGAACCAATTTTGTATAAACCTTGGGTCTGCCCCTCCCCCCCCAAGGGCCTGAGGGGTGGGGCCCAATAGGGTAAATAAAGCATATCCTTTAAAATCCTTCTTCTACTGCAGGAATGAAAGGATTTGTTCCGTATTTTGTCAGAAGCATGGTTGGGTGAAGGGGAACCAGTTTTGTATTAACCCTTGGTCTGCCCAGCCAATGGCCTGAGGGGCGGGGCCTAATAGGGGAAATTTGATGTTTCTCTTGTGAAACCAATTTCTATTATAAATACTTACCACAGTCATTATAATGCATATTCCAACCTTACTTGGCTCTTTACATATGTAAATAAAGAATTTTTCCCCCCATGGGGAACTCCTGGGAAACCCACCAATCAGACGGCAGTATTCACGCACGTGATAAGACACGAAGCCATGCTTCCCACTTCATAATTCCAAAGCCCAAAAAAAAAATGAGAGCCAAGGAGACAAGGGGAGGCTGGGAGGGAACTCACCTAATGACTGTGGTATATATCTATAAGAGAAATTGGTTTCACAAGAGAAACCTCATTTCTATTTCAAAATACGTTACCACAGTCATTATAATGCGAATTCGACTTACCGCAGTGGTGTCTCCGTGGAGCGATGAAGGGTTCCAACAATAGGACCCAACCCCTGGAGGAAAAATTCAAAATACCTTTTCTTTTGTGACACAAAGCTTGATTACGACCAGCATTCCGGATCACGAGACATAATGAGGCTTATGCAAAAGAAGAGGGAGGACAGAAAACGGACTGGGCAGCCACAACACTGCCCAAAGAATACAATCCGTCAGACTGTCCCGACAAAGATCGGAGATAGAACTCTGTAAACGTAGAATGAGAATGACCCCTCCAAACAGCAGCTGTCATGACCTAAGCATAAGAAGAACCATTAAATAAGGCCCACGAAGTAGCTAAAGCGCAAACCTCATGAGCCCTTACCCCTGACACCCGCAAGGACTGATCCCCTGCCGACTCATATGCAGCTCGAACAGTCTGAACAATCCAGCGTGAGATGGTCGCTGCAGAGATATTAGAGCGACCGGGCTAACTGGGCATAGCAGGCGATCAGGACAATCCCCATCCAGAGTTGAAGCCAAAGAAGGGATAACCACAAGCCCTGGGGTGAAACCGGGAACCTAGTTCTTAGCTAAAAAGGAGGGAGCAGTGGACACTGAGACCGAAGAATGGCCAGCCGAAAAACAAAGGCAAGAAGAAGATCTGCTGAAAGCATGAATCTCGCTTCTGCGGCGACCGGAAGCAAAGGCTATCAAGAACACAGTCCTGAAAGTAAGAAACTTCCGATCCATCGATTGGAGGGGCCCTCAACAAGGAATCTAGCACAAGTGCTAAATTCCACCTAGGGACCAATTGCCGTGAATGAGGCTTCTCAATGTCGAAGCCCCTAATGAGAGCAGACAATGAAGCGTCCGAGCCCACAGACTTGCTACCATAGAAAGCCAGCACACTAGCAATGGCTGAATGATAGCATGCAATAGTTCCCAGAGACAGACCTTTGTCCCGGAACAGAGACAAAAGAAAGTCCGCTACAACGGGAACAGAGGCAGAGACTGGATCAATTGACCGTCCGACACACCAATCACCGAAGGCGGACTATCGAGATTGGAAGGCGGCGGAAGACAAAGGTCTAAGTGATCCTGCCATGGGAGTTGCAACTTCTCGAGAAAAGCCCGTCTGAGTGAGCCTTCCCGAGATAGCATCCGACCGTGAAGGTGGAGCCGTTCTGGTCCCGAGTAGAAGTGCAGGGACCTCGGTTGAGACAGCAGATCCCACAGGGGTGGGATGCTGCGTGGGAAGTCCACCGACAGCCGAAGCAACAGAGGAAACCAAGGTTGTCGAGGCCAGAGCGGTGCAACCAGCAACACAGTACAAGGGTGTAGAAGGATCTTCTCCAACACCCTGCCCACCAGATTGAAGGGAGGAAACGCATACCCGTACATTCCCGACCAGTCCTGGGATAGAGCATCCCCCGCCATGGCCATAGGGTCTGGAACCGGAGACACAAACGTAGGGAGTCAAAAGTTCAGGGCCGTGGCGAACAGATCCACATGGGGTCTGTCCCAAACCAGGCAAAGAGACCAGAACACCGAACGCTTGAGGGTCCATTCGGTGAGAAACGGGCTCCGAGACCGAGACAGAGTGTCGGCCAGAACATTCAGACGACCTGGAAGGTGCCTCACCGTGAGATCGAGACTGATCTCCTGACACAGCAACAGGACCTGGGTGGATAAAGCACACAGAGCCGGAGAGGTGCCCCCCTGGCGCTGCAGATAAGCCACCACAGTGGAGTTGTCTGTCGCCAGACAAATGCCCTTGCCCTGCAGGGAGGGTCGAAGACCCCGAAGGGCAAACAGAACAGCACGCATTTCCAGAACATTGATGTGTTCTGAAAGCTGTTCCCCCGACCACACCCCTGGCGACGTCTGACCGGAAAGGTATGCATCCCAACCGGTCATGGACGCGTCGGTGTAAAGGGTCATAGCAGGAGATGCCCGAACCAGAGGAACTCCTGCCAAGACATTGCTCTCGAGAGTCCACCAACGAGCTGATTCCTTCACCGACTCCGGCAGAGGAATGTACACATCCCACTGTCGAGACGCCGGAGACCAAACTGACTGAAGGAACAGCTGGAGCGGACGGATGTGAAGCCGACCCAAGGGAAGCACATTCGCCAGTGAATTCAGGTAACCGAGGAACCGAAGGAACCATCGGACCTGAATTGGCTGCACACCGACCAGAACAGAGACCAACAGAGAGGCCTTCTCGAACTTGGACACTGGTGGAAGGACAAACCCCAGATCGGTTCTGAACCGATAACCGAGGAAAACAAAATCTTGGGAGGGGAGAACCTCTGACTTCTCCCTGGAAGGGATGAACCCTAGGCTGCACAGAACGCCCAGAACCGACCTCGTGCGCCGGGACAGGATAACTGGATCCACTTGGAGCAACAAGGAGTCGTCGAAGTAGATGTGTGCATCTACCCCGAGACTGTGGAGGTGCCCCACTACTACCTGCAACAACTTGGTGAAAACCAAGAAGGCCGTAGTGAGGCCGAAGGGCATAGCTCGAAACTGGTAAACCTTCTGCTCGAAAGTGAACCTGAGGAACTTCCTGGCCGACCTCCTGACCGGGATGTAAAAGTAAGCATCCTTCAGATCGATGGACGTAGCCTACATCCCTGGACGCAATGATGCGCCGTGGCGTTTCCATCTGGAAGTGCGGGGAATCGACGTATGTGTTGAACGTACTGAGGTCGATAATAGGCATCCAGGCTCCGGACTTCTTCTTCACGAGGAAGACCCGGGAGTAAAACCCTGGAGACCACTGGTCCCGTGAAAGTTCCTTGATCGCGCCCTTCGAGATCATGGCTTGAACCTCTGACCTGAGAGCCTCCACCTTTCCCGGATCGGAAGGAGAAGGGAAAAAGATAGGCTCTCGCGCCAGAGGTGGATCCCGAAGAAGCGGGATACAGAGACCCTTGGACACAACCCCTAGGGCCCAACTGTCTGATGTGATTTCTTTCCACTGAGGAACGAAATGGGACAGCCAACCGCCTACTGACAGGTCCGGAAGGGGCCAATCTGGCCCTTCCCAAACCACATCGGTGGAGCCTCCCACGCCCAAGGGCGTGGGAGCGGCGACAGACAGTGGACAAGGAGTTTGCAAGGGCAAGGAAGAGTCAGGAACCCTTCCTACCTCTGGAAACTTTGGCTTTGCCTCGACCCCTATGGGAACCCCTACCGCGGAAGGAAGATTTCCGACGTTCTGCCGGAGCGGAAGACGGTGGGGCAGCCTGCTGCTGAAAATCAGTCGTCTTTGCCCTCTTCCTCCTATGCCTGGAGGAGCCAGAAGCCTGCCTCTTCCTGCTAGCGCCCTTGCCTGCGGAATTGTGGCGTGCATCCTCAGATGCAAACAGGTCCAACCTCATCTCAGATTGTACTGAGAGAAGGACCCCGCCAAACAAATCCTCGCCAGTCAAGGGAGCCTCCAAAAGGGTAGCCCGATAGGAATTGCCGACTGGCAGTCCAGAAAGGACCGACAACAGGCGGGCAACAACAAGGTGTGACATGGCAGCCGACAGTAAGGCCATCGCATCAAGATGTGCCTTGCAAATTGGCTGGCTGAGGCATTCCATCAGTCCAACCTTGCTGGGGAGCTGCTCCACCGACTTGCAGCTCGCAGCCAGCAACGCAGAAGTAAACCAGTCTGCGTAGGATAGAACATGGAGAGCAAGCCTAAGGAGATACTCCAACTTAGAGTTCTCCCTAGGCCTCATCACAACCTGGTCAACACAGCGTCCCGGCCACTTATCCAGATCCCTCTCAAGGGAAACAGAATTAGGGGCCAAGACTGGGTCGTGGATGCGGTACGTATCTGCAGCTAAATCTGCGATGTCGGCAACCACGACCTGTAAAGCCGAGAGGGAAAAAGGCTTGCGAGCCTTGCT